CAATAACACAGGAAACTCAGGTGTGAAACAGCTCTCTGCTGTACTGAAGGATCCTAAATGTCAGCTGCAGATACTCAGGTTAGTTGTCAGACTATTTCCTAACAAAAAATGACTATAAGAAAATGAATGTAATAATTATTCACAACTGTCACTATTATATGTTAAAATCCTGGATTCATTAACTGTAGCTCCAACTGGAAGTTGTCAATTTGTTAATATACAAATACATTGTATTATAAATACAGTACTGAGGTTTAGTTATAAACCAGGCAGCAGTGGGTGTACGAGCATCAGCACTGCAGAGGCTGTATTTACTGAATAACAGTGCAGCTGAACTCGGGAGACGGTAATAACTGGCAGGCACTGTGAGAGACGGCTGGCTGAGTACACACACCTTGCCAGGGGGGTGTGAGATTTAGAGCGGGTGTATGGCTGCGGGTGTTCTCCAAATGGGAATAACAGGAAGGGGGTTAACCAAACCAAACAAACAGAAAGACAAAAGAAGGACAGAAGCGTCACTCAGGCTGTAGCAGGCAGAGACACACAGACACCTGTCCGTCAGTCAGAGTGACACGTGTGTGTAGATCCCAGAGAGGTGCTGTCATGACGGTGTTTCCTTAATGAACTGATTTATGGGTCCAGAGCTGAGAGAGTGAAGAGTTTCTCTCCTTCTCTTTACAGGCTGTCAGGCTGTAGAGTCACAGATATAGGCTGTGCTATTCTGGCTTCAGCTCTGAGGTCAAACCCCTCACACCTGAGAGAGCTGGATCTGAGTGATAATAACACAGGAGACTCAGGAGTGATAGAGCTCTCTGATGTACTGGAGGATCCTAAATGTCAGCTGCAGAAACTCAGGTTAATAGTCAGATTGTTCCTTAAAAGAAAATGTGTATAACAAAGTTTAAACTGAGATAATTATATACAGATGCTCCTCTACTTACGAACGAGATACGTTCCGATTGGCCGTTCACAACTTGAAATGTTCCTAAGTCGTTATCCAACATCATTTTAAGGGTATACGCAAGTACTAAGAACTAGGATGCTGGGAGTTCGCACGCTACGCTGCTGCGCGGCAGCAGTAGTGGGCAGAAGTCGTACTACCCGGAATTGGCATGCAGAAAAAAAATGATGTTACAGACAGGAAAAGGGAGCCCCATGAACACAATTTGGACTTAAAATCCTCTTCATTCGTATGTCTGAAAGTTCGTAAGTTGAAAATTCGCAGTTAGAGGAGCGTCTGTACATTTCTTCTAACTGTCTGATGAAATGAACTGTCTCATAATTAGTAGTAAATGACCTGTTTGATTAAACATAAATGCGTGTAATATAAATACTTTCCTTTCTGAATTCAGTGAGTGTCCACAGCTGACAGACTGAAAAGTTTCTCTCCTTCTCTTTACAGGTTGTCAGGCTGTAGAGTCACAGATACAGGCTGTGCTTCTCTGGCTTCAGCTCTGTGGTCAAACCCCTCACACCTGAGAGAGCTGGATCTGAGTGGCAATAACACAGGAGACTCAGGAGTGATACAGCTCTCTGCTGTACTGAAGGATCCTAAATGTCAACTGCAGAAACTCAGGTTAGGAGCCACAATTTAAGAAAGTGAATAAGTAGTAATTATTCACAGCTGTTATTATTATACATTAAAATATTGCATTAATTAATTGTAGCTCAAATTGGGAATTTGTTCAAATATAATTACATTTTATTATGAATGCTGTCATGGAGTTTAGCTATAAACCAGGCAGCAGAGGGTGTACGAGCATCAGCACTGCAGAGGCTGTATTTACTGAATAACAGTGCAGCTGAAGTCGGGAGACGGGAGTAACTGGGAGGGACTGTGAGAGACGGCTGGCGGAGTCCTCACCATGTCAGGGGGGTCTGAGAGTAAGAGGGGGGTGAATGGCAGTGGGTGGTCTCTAAAAAGGAACAACAGGAGGGGGGAAACTGAACCAAACAAACAGAAACACAAAAGATGGACAGAAGCATTACTCAGGCTGTAGCAGGCAGAGACACACAGACACCTGTCCATCAGTCAGAGTGACACGTGTGTGTAGATCCCAGAGAGGTGCTGTCATGATGGTGTTTCCTTAATGAACTGATTTATGGGTCCAAAGCTGAGAGAGTGAGGAGTTTCTCTTCTTCTCTTTACAGGTTGTCAGACTGTAGAGTCACAGATACAGGCTGTGCTTCTCTGGCTTCAGCTCTGAGGTCAAACCCCTCACACCTGAGAGAGCTGGATCTGAGCTACAATAACACAGGAGACTCAGGAGTGATACAGCTCTCTGCTGTACTGGAGGATCCTAAATGTCAGCTGCAGACACTCAGATTAGTAGTCAGTAATCAGACTGTTTTCTTGCAAGCAACATGTATTACAGGATGTATAAAACGTAATTATGGAAAGCCATAGTGAGTTTTTGGTATGAACAAACTATTTAATTATTTCAGTAAGAGTAAATTAGCTGTTTTTTTAACAATAAATATATTGTAATGCAGATATTTTCCTCACTGCTCTGAGCTGTTTGTCCAGAGCTGAGAGAGTGAAGAGTTTCTCTCCTTCTTTTTACAGGATGTCTGGCTGTAGAGTCACAGATACAGGCTGTGCTTCTCTGGCTTCAGCTCTGAGGTCAAACCCCTCACACCTGAGAGAGCTGGATCTGAGTGACAATAACACAGGAGACTCAGGAGTGATACAGCTCTCTGCTGTACTGGAGGATCCTAAATGTCAGCTGCAGATAATCACATGATAATCTTGCAATCAATGTGTATGCAAAGAGACATACTGTCATGACCTGCTCTGTCCATCCCCCAGTATGACCAGCATAAATATATTAACCAAATATATTAACCAAAGTAGGGGAGACCAGAGGCACTGCAAACAGTGAGTGCAGTGTGTAAGCTCCGGCAGATATGGCTATGGCAGCATAAGTAGGAGGGAGAGGCAGGTGGGAATGCAGGCATGGTGAGTCCCTGAACGTCAGCACTCCAAACATATAATGGGGTGTGAAGCTAGAGTGACAGCACTTACAGTTCAGTTCATCGCAAGCCAATGGCACCGATCCCCACCAGCTCTACACCTCACACTGTATGCTTAGTTAGGGGTGAGTAGCTAGCTGGAGCTAGAACTAGAGTCCCTGCATGTTTGAGTAAACAATTGTGTTTTTAGTCTAGACTTGTATGAGAACGCTCTGCGGCCTGCCATCGTTCTTTCTCCTCTAGTTACTGATAGCTATCCTTCTCCTTGAGATCAAAGCAGGCAAGGAGAATTGTATCAGCTGGTCTCTGTTAGATCTCTAAGATATTCTGGTGCAAAGCCTCTGTGTTTATCATAAGGAAATCTTTAGGTGTCCTGCACAGGTCTTCTAACCCTGAGAGCTGGAATTCATCATCTGGTATGACAGATACATAACTGCCCACATAGCAACTGATTCTGGGCTAGATCTGCCTGCATCTCCTTAAATCTGGATGCCAGTGACATTGGGGCAGGAGAGTCTGCACCATAATCTGTCCAGAGTTCTAAACGATTACAGCTGGTCTGTATGCACTCTGCAGATCCGGCGCGCATTCGCCTGACCGTATATGTATGATCACTCACTTACCATTGATCCGTTGTGCAAAAAGATACTGGACCAGATCTAGTTTACGGATCTGCGGCAATTTCTGAACAACATTTGGCCCAGATCCGTGTTCAGACTCACCTTGCTATGTGGGTGTGTGTTGGTGCTGGGTGATAATTTGGTAATTTAATCAATCTCAGTCACCAGATCCCATCAGTTTAACTAAAGTAATTGATCTGAAGAACTAGAGAAATCCAGTTGCAGGCTTTGGTAGTTCCTGGGATAATGTGCTGGCTTCTGTCTTATCTGAATGATCACAAGAAAATTGATTGAATAAAAAATACATTTATTTGCATAAACTTCAAAGCTACAGCAAACAATTTGATATGCACAACATGTGATGTTACTATTAATATCGCACATCGTCCAGCCCTATAATATACTACAGCCATTTTCCAATTCAGTACAAAATACCCTGCCTCACCTTATGTCATTCAGCACCAGTAACAGTTTTTATGCCAGTGGAAAAACAACACCTTGAAGTACTCTTTTGATATGGTTGTGCAATTGTGCTATGTACAGACGCTCCTCTAACTGCGAATTTTCAACTTACGAACTTTCAGACATACGAATGAAGAGGATTTTAAGTCCAAATTGTGCAATTTTGAAGAGTTACAGGTATACTGTAAATTAAAGAACTGGCTTTTAAATACAGCAAAATTATTCTTGTGGAAATATAACAGTAAGTTTGACTTACCAATATTCTACCAGCCACTTTTGATTACAAGCCAAATTCATGCTAACAAATTCATCTAAATGAAGCAAGGCTCTTCATAAAGCACTTTGGGTATCGAAAAGCTCTGTCTAAATGTAATGCTCATCCATTCATTCAAAGACAATTCATATGCAGTTTTATACTTGAGTTAGGGATTCAAATCCTGCCTGTCCTGCACATATACCTACCCAGACATGGGTGCTGGTTCTCATCCCAGGATGTTGTTGCTTTACATGGATGTTACAGCTGTGTGTGGCATCCAAACCTGTTTTTAATTCCATTGTAATTAGTTCATACGGGTAACATGCAATAAAGACATATAAAGACTGGGAGTGATGCAGGTATTTTAAAAAGAAAATCCACAACATTTTTTAAATTGCATGAATTTGCCACATAAACACAGAATATGAAAATACTACACATACACACACACACACACAAATTTGTATTCATATCTTTGTGGGGACTGTTCATTCATTTATATGGAGAAAACTATAATCCCAACATGACGACCTTAACTCCTACCCAGCCCTAACCATCACCATAAGTAACAAAAACAAAATATGAGACTTAACTATATACAGTAGGCAGGGTCACAGGGACACAGAAAGGGCAAAAAAAAAGGGATGAAGGTTAAAGTCACAGATAAATGTAGCAGCATTTTTTTATTTAAATTCAAGCACTTTGAATGTGGCAGCTTGTTTAATTTTATTTATTGCATTAAGTCCAGCGTTTTGGATTTTGCATTTTATATTTGTAAAAGTTTTATTTTTCAATTAAGACATTTTACCATAAATCTTACTCAAAGTTGAGATTGAGTAGCAGTAAACTGCATTTCATTCAGTGTGATTTCTTTGTTGATATGCCACAGTCAAATGGAAGAGTAACTCATAACAAAATTCTGGAAACAAATTAATCTATTTATTGAATCGTGAATCCATTTTGAATCTAATCGTGAGTCCAAGAATCGGAATCGAATCAAATTGTGAGATTTTCTGAATCGTGCACCCCTAGTGTGCATGTGTGGGCAGGACTGTCTCGAATTGAAAATCACACTCCTGCCAGCTGAGCAAAGTTGGCAGCCCTGTAAACAGCAAAAATGTTCCAAATCTGTTAATTGTGCCAGAATTTTAGGAAACCATCGTGAAGTGTGTGTATGACATGCTAGTAAAGGGCTGAAATTGCCATGAGGCAGGTCAGTTGTTATAGTAAAGTAGGAATATGTTTGACTGAAAAAAGCAGTTTTTATTATAAATACCAGAAAATTAATTAACAAAAATTATTATTTGGTAGGCTTGTGAACAAATTAATAGAATTTAAATGCTTTCTTAAGGGAAAAATTGCCTTGGTTTGTGTACTAATTGGTTCACGACCACATTCCTAGAACGGATTGTGTTTGTGAATCGCAGGCACCACTGTATATAGATACAGTGGTACTGATCAGTACTCGAACTCATTAGAACTCAAATTTCTTAAAAGTCGAACCAACCAGTTCGGGGGAAAAAAATGACCTAGAACTCGATCTGAGTCTCAGAAGTCAAACCGTGAACGCCGACCTAAGATAACTTGTACGCGTGGGGAAATGAGTCACGCGGCATGTCTCTCAGCAGAAACAAAGGGTAACGCTTCAATCTCAGCCTCGCATTCGCTGTGATAGCATCATTTGTTGGTGATAGTGCTTTTTTTATTGAAAATATCAGGTAATACACTGTATATCATTTTGGTAGTCATTGCTCACCAAAAAGTTACACAATAGTTGTACAATGTTACAACCTTAAAGTTTGCGATTTATGAACAAATTAACGAATATAGAGTAATAATAAAAATAAACAATGGACCGCATGGCATAGTCTAGTGTTGGCGCAGTGTTGGGATACATTTTTTATCGTTTTGGAAGCCGTTAACAAAAAAATGTTACACACAGCGTACAGTGTTGGCACAGTGTTTGCGAAAAATGTAGACTGCTAATTTTTTTAACTTTACGCATTGTTTGGATACATTTATTTTCTTACTTTAAAAATTACTGTTTTGATAAATGTGCTTAGATGTGTTTAGTACAGTATATGCTCTTCTTGTTTTATCCTGTTCATTTTGTGTTTAAATGGTAATATAAAAAAAAAAAAACATATTTAGGTGTCATTTTTTGGGGCCGGGAACCAATTAATTGGTTTTCCATTATTTCTTATGGGGAAAATTCGATCAGAACTCAAACTTTTTAGTATTCGAACACGAGTTCTGAATGCATTAAGTTCGAGTTCTGAGGTACCACTGTATATAATACATAAGTGTTACGTGCAAAGGGTATCTCTGTGTGTGGTGGTGTGTTTTGTTTCTTCTCCCCTATCTCTGCAGTACCGGCCCTGATTCCTGTCCTCCCCAATGAGGTCATGTGTGGGCGGGGTTTTCCCTTTTATAAGGGAGCATGCAGAGAAGAACAATGGCGTCAGTATTTTCCTGCCGGGCGTCCTCGTGCTGGTTGTCTGCTGGGCTGCTCTCTGTTTCTTGTTTCTATAGTGCTGTTTTAGGAGGGACCTGTTTTTAGAGTACTTTTGTCGGTTATACTTGTCAAGAGAATTCGTACTTCTTTTATACGATTGTCACGGGGTTAACTCCGTTTCATTTCCTTCCTCAGGTTGCAGGGCTATTTTTGATCATTTCTTTTCTTTAGCGCCACCCGTTTCCCCCCTTCATTGGGAGCAGTACTAGATGCACCTTATTCTTGCACTTAGCCGCTTTATCCAGCATGTTTGCACAGTCCTGTCAATGATAAAATGTAAAAACGGTGCTGTTTGGGTATGTTTGTTCACCCTTGCAACATCAGGTAAACCTAGTAACAAGTTCGCCTCAGACCTAGACCTGGGGTTGTAACAATAAGACATAATTTAAATGTTTTTTTCACTATCAAATCGAAAACACTATTTTGTTTTAGAAGAATTATTGTATTAGACCCATTTTCCTGGTTGAGCTGAATTGTGTGTCCAGGGCTTTGGGAGTGAATTCAGTTTTCAGTTCAACTGAATTTCATTTGTGTGGTGCAGTCCTGATTTATACGCTCCAATTTGTTACAATCAGAGTGTAAATGCAGAAGGTCCATTGGAATTATGGGCATTAATGTCTGGGCCGGGAGAGAAGGTACTGCTTCCGATAGCAGGATGAGCGGTGGTGCATCCAGGCAGGAGAGACGTCCCAGGTAGGAGGACAGACAGGAGAGACCTCAGAGGTAGTAGGGGCATCACGGGGAGTAAGGCAGTAGGATATCATGATTTTTGGGTCTCTAGGCAGCAAACCCCAGGAGGGATGGGGGGAGGGGGTAAACAATATATTAGCCAAAGTAAGGGAGACCAGAGGCACGACAAACAGCTGAGTGCAATATCTACGTCATCAAAATAACAGGTTTTTGTTTCATTGTGGGGGACATTTGGTCCCCAAAATGTAATATTAACCTAATACACACAGTTGGTACTGGAATGAAATTAACAACACAGTCCACCCATGTGACCTTGTAGGATACAAGCTGAGGAGACAGAGGCCGGGTTCTGCAAACTCAGTACACCTTGGAAGGGGGGCAATGAGATCCACTCACATGCCTCTCCTATGAAATGTGTGCATAGTAATGGGGGGAAAACACCACCAAACCTAGAGTGCATTTGCAAATAATGGGATAAACAAATAAATAAAAGATACATCCGTCTTTCAACCACTTATGCGGTAGAGGTATAAATACTGACTAAAATGAAATTTCCCTGAGATGACAATACTCAGAAAACGTCACGAAAAACGTAACTTCCCATCGGAAACATGCTTCTTTTATTACGTTCATGTCGGACAGAATTTTCTTGTCCGAGTGTTCCCTGTGATGTAATTTCAACATGGCGGCTTACACACTCAACAGTAATTCTATTTTATAAATCTTTAAGAATGTTTATTTTGTTAAATGTATTAATAGTTATAAATGTAATTGCACATGTTGGATTTAGAGAATTGTTTATCATGACTGTAAACAATATCCTAGCATGCAATATCAGATTTTTACCAGACTTGTTTCTTTGGTTTGTTTGTAGTTTGTTTGCCTCTCAAAAAAAGAATATCGCTATCAATGTACTAAAATATTTTATAAAGCTTTTAATATGGTTTGACTAGTTTGTGTTTCTTGTTTGTTTGTCTCTCAGAAAAAATAATCTCACTCCAAATCTGCTAAAATATAAAACAACACACAGCAGCGTGTTCATGGAGGCAGCCATGTTTGTTCTGAGATGTGGTAGCTCGAATGGGAGATTGTTGGACGTGACCTCACTCATCTTGGAATTTCCGAGTTCTGAGAGAAAAACAAACGCACCATAAATCTCCCAGGCTGTGGGGGATTCCTGTCTCCAGCTGAGTGTCCTGCATGCAGGTTTCTAGATGTAGGTCAAAGACATGCCCTGCAGGTGATCTGGTGTCTTATAATGGTCCTTAGTGATGTTATAGTTTGTGTGTGTGTGGACCCATGTACCCTGTGATGGAACGACACCAAGGGTGCTCCCTGCCTGCCTTTCCACCATGGGCAAAGGATCACAGTAGGGAGAGAGAAAAAAAGCACTTTCCAGTTTTTTTTTGGATCTATTGGCCTTTGTTAGGAAAACCAAACGGCTCCCTCAGCTTGCAGCATACAGCAGTCTGTCTCATAATCACTTAATGTTTAAAGCAAAAAACATCTCAAAAAAAGGGTGCAAATTCTGAGCTTTATTTGTATTTTTGAATTGATACATTTTGATGAGTGTCCCTCGTGGAGACCTTCTTTCAGTCTTGGACATCAAAGTAGTCAATTGCAGGCTCTACGCTGGCTGAACTCTGGTTGCTGCTCCTGCAAAGAGCAACTTGTGAACATGTGGTTCGCAGTCAAGGCATTTGGTTAGGATACGCGGTCGGTGTGAGCGCGAGGCATTCTGTCGGGATGCATACGCGGTCGGTGTGAGCGCGAGGCATTCTGTCGGGATGCATACGCGGTCG